CACCCACACTCACACACAATCATACACTCAAACACAATCATACACGCACACTCACACACAATCATACTCACTCACACTCAAACACAATCATACACGCACACTCACACACAATCATACATTCACACACAATCATACACTCACACACAATCATACACTCACACACAATCATACTCACTCACACACAATCATACTCACACTCAAACACAATCATACTCACACTCAAACACAATCATACTCACTCACACACAATCATACACACTCACACACAATCATACTCACACACAATCATACTCACACACAATCATACTCACTCACACTCAAACACAATCATACACGCACACTCACACACAATCATACACACTCACACACAATCATACACACTCACACACAATCATACTCACACTCAAACACAATCACACACTCACACACAATCATACTCACTCACACTCAAACACAATCATACTCACTCACACTCAAACACAATCATACACCCACACTCACATACAATCATACACTCAAACACAATCATACACGCACACTCACACACAATCATACACACTCACACTCAAACACAATCATACACCCACACTCACACACAATCATACACTCAAACACAATCATACACCCACACTCACACACAATCATACACACTCAAACACGAGACAGCGAGATTATAACGTCAGGTAAACAACAACAACATCAACAACAACAACCATCATCAACAGAACGATAACGACAAAGCTCCCCCAGGTAGCCTCTGCTGACAGGGCTGTCTGGCCGTGGCAAGAGGACGCCTGTCAGGAGCGAGGAGCAGCGACTCATCACCAACAAAGCCACGTCGTCAACTCGGCCGCCTTTGTCTCTCTCCTAGTTACTCTCTCCTAGTTACTCTCAGTCTCTCTCCTAGTCTCTCTCTCACCATCTCTCTCTCCCTTAGACTCTCTCTTAGACTCTCTCTCTCCTAGTCTCTCTCTCACCATCTCTCTCTGCTAGCTACTCTCTCAGTCTCTCTCATAGTCTCCCTCTCACCATCTCTCTCTCCCAGTCTCTCTCTGCTAGCTACTCTCTCAGTCTGAGTCTCCATCTCTCTCTCCTAGTTACCCTCTCAGTCTCTCTCTCCCTTAGACTCTCACAATGTCTCTCTCCCTAGTTACTCTCTCAGTCTCTCTCTCACAATGTCTCTCTCCTAGTCTCTCCTAGTTACTCTCTCAGTCTCTCTCATAGTTACTCTCTCAGTCTCTCTCACCATCTCTCTCTCCATCTCTCTCTCCTAGTTACTCTCTCAGTCTCTCTCATAGGTACTCTCTCAGTCTTTCTCTCACCATCTCTCTCTCCCCTAGACTCTCTCAGTCTCTCTCTCACAATGTCTCTCTCCTAGTTACTCTCTCAGTCTCTCTCACCATCTCTCTCTCCCCTAGTCTCTCTCTTAGACTCTCTCTCCTAGTTACTCTCTCAGTCTCTCTCACCATCTCTCTCTCCATCTCTCTCTCCTAGTTACTCTCTCAGTCTCTCTCCTAGTCTCTCTCTCCATCTCTCTCTCCTAGTCTCTCTCTCCTAGACTCTCTCTCCTAGTTACTCTCTCAGTCTCTCTCCTAGTCTCCCTCTCTCCTAGTTACTCTCAGTCTCTCTCACCATCTCTCTCTCTCCTAGTTACTCTCAGTCTCTCTCATAGTCTCCCTCTCACCATCTCTCTCTCTCTCCTAGTTACTCTCTCTGTCTCTCTCCTAGTCTCCCTCTCACCATCTCCCTCTCTCCCAGTCTCTCTCCTAGTTACTCTCTCAGTCTGAGTCTCCATCTCTCTCTCCTAGTCTCTCTCCTAGTTACTCTGTCTCTCTCACCATCTCTCTCTCCTAGTTACTCTCTCAGTCTCTCACCATCTCTCTCTCCTAGTTACTCTCTCACCATTGCTCTCTCCTAGTTATGCTCGCCTAGTCTCTCCTAGTCTCTCTCTATCTCTCTCCTAGTCTCTCTCACAATGTCTCTCTCAGTCTCTCTCTCCTAGTTACTCATCACAATGTCTCTCTCTCTCCTAGACTCTCTCCTAGTCTCTCTCTCCTAGTTACTCTATCACAATGTCTCTCTCTCTCTCCTAGTCTCTCTCTCTCCTAGTTACTCTATCACAATGTCTCTCTCTCTCCTAGACTCTCTCCTAGTTACTCTATCACAATGTCTCTCTCTCTCCTAGACTCTCTCCTAGTCTCTCTCTCTCCTAGACTCTCTCCTAGTCTCTCTCTCTCCTAGTTACTCTATCACAATGTCTCTCTCTCTCCTAGACTCTCTCCTAGTTACTCTATCACAATGTCTCTCTCTCTCTCCTAGACTCTCTCCTAGTCTCTCTCTCTCCTAGTTACTCTATCACAATGTCTCTCTCTCTCCTAGACTCTCTCCTAGTCTCTCTCTCTCTCCTAGTTACTCATCACAATGTCTCTCTCTCTCTCCTAGACTCTCTCCTAGTTACTCTATCAAAATGTCTCTCTCTCTCTCCTAGACTCTCTCCTAGTCTCTCTCTCTCCCCTAGTTACTCTCTCACAATGTCTCTCTCATAATGTCTCTCTCCTAGTTTCTCTCTCCTAGTTACTCTATCACAATGTCTCTCTCTCTCTCCTAGTTACTCATCACAATGTCTCTCTCTCTCCTAGACTCTCTCCTAGTCTCTCTCTCCTAGTTACTCATCACAATGTCTCTCTCTCTCCTAGACTCTCTCCTAGTCTCTCTCTCCTAGTCTCTCTCACAATGTCTCTCTCTCTCTCCTAGACTCTCTCCTAGTCTCTCTCACAATGTCTCTCTCCTAGTCTCGCTCTGTCTCTCTCCCTCCCCGTGGTGAGACGCTGACACACCGCAACGCGTTTCGGACGAAACTAAACACAAAACGGCTGAGTAACTGAACCCCCCATAGACCCCTCCCGCCTCGACCCCCATAGACCCCCCCCCCTCCTGGACCCCCATAGACCCCCCCCCCCCGCCTGGACCCCCCTCCTGGACCCCCATAGATGTGGCAGATGGCCGCGAGCGGGAATCCAACTCGGGGTGTTTCTGTTCCGCGGCTTCGTGAGCGATCACACACACACACACGCACACACACACACACACGTGTGTGTGTGCGTGTCTGTGTGTGCCAGTCTGCACACACACACACACACGTGTGTGTGTGTGTGCAGACTGGCGCACGCCGACTCACTGAGTGGTCGGGTGGGTGAGTGGGTGGGTGAGTGGGTGGGTGGGTGAGTGGGTGGGTGAGTGGGTGGGTGAGTGGGTGGGTGGGTGAGTAGGTGGGTGAGTGGGTGGGTGAGTAGGTGGGTGGGTGAGTGGGTGGGTGGGTGAGTGGGTGGGTGGGTGAGTAGGTGGGTGAGTGGGTGGGTGAGTAGGTGGGTGGGTGAGTGGGTGGGTGGGTGAGTGGGTGGGTGGGTGAGTGGGTGAGTAGGTGGGTGAGTGGGTGGGTGAGTAGGTGGGTGGGTGAGTGGGTGGGTGGGTGAGTGGGTGGGTGAGTAGGTGGGTGAGTAGGTGGGTGGGTGAGTAGGTGGGTGAGTAGGTGGGTGGGTGAGTGGGTGAGTAGGTGGGTGAGTAGGTGTGTGGGTGAGTGGGTGAGTAGGTGGGTGAGTAGGTGGGTAAGTTGGTGAGTGAGTGGGTGGGTGAGTAGGTGGGTGAGTGGGTGGGTGAATGGGTGGGTGGGTGGGTTAGTAGGTGGGTGGGTGAGTGGGTGAGTAGGTTGGTGAGTGAGTAGGTGGGTGAGTAGGTGGGTGAGTGGGTGAGTGAGTGGGTGGGTGAGTGGGTGAGTGAGTAGGTGGGTGAGTAGGTGGGTGAGTGGGTGGGTGAGTGGGTGGGTGAGTGGGTGGGTGAGTGGGTGAGTGAGTGGGTGGGTGAGTGGGTGGGTGAGTAGGTGGGTGGGTGAGTGGGTGAGTAGGTGGGAGTAGGTGGGTGAGTAGGTGGGTAAGTTGGTGAGTGAGTGGGTGGGTGAGTAGGCGGGTGAGTAGGTGGGTTAGTAGGTGGGTGGGTGAGTGGGTGAGTAGGTTGGTGGGTGAGTAGGTGGGTGAGTAGGTGGGTGAGTGGGTGAGTGAGTGGGTGAGTGAGTGGGTGAGTGAGTGGGTGGGTGAGTGGGTGGGTGAGTAGGTGGGTGGGTGAGTGGGTGAGTAGGTGGGTGAGTAGGTGGGTGAGTAGGTGGGTGAGTAGGTGGGTGAGTGGGTGAGTGAGTGGGTGAGTGAGTGGGTGGGTGAGTAGGTGGGTGAGTGGGTGGGTGAGTGGGTGGGTGAGTAGGTGGGTGAGTAGGTGGGTGAGTGGGTGAGTGGGTGGGTGAGTGAGTGGGTGGGTGAGTGGGTGGGTGAGTAGGTGGGTGAGTAGGTGGGTGAGTGGGTGAGTGAGTGGGTGGGTGAGTGAGTGGGTGGGTGAGTGGGTGGGTGAGTAGGTGGGTGAGTAGGTGGGTGAGTGGGTGAGTGAGTGGGTGGGTGAGTGAGTGGGTGGGTGAGTAGGTGGGTGAGTAGGTGGGTGAGTAGGTGGGTGAGTGGGTGAGTGAGTGGGTGGGTGAGTGAGTGGGTGGGTGAGTGGGTGGGTGAGTAGGTGGGTGAGTAGGTGGGTGAGTGGGTGAGTGAGTGGGTGGGTGAGTGAGTGGGTGGGTGAGTGGGTGGGTGAGTAGGTGGGTGAGTAGGTGGGTGAGTGGGTGGGTGAGTGGGTGGGTGAGTGAGTAGGTGGGTGAGTAGGTGGGTGAGTAGGTGGGTGAGTGGGTGAGTGAGTGGGTGGGTGAGTGAGTGGGTGGGTGAGTGGGTGGGTGAGTAGGTGGGTGAGTAGGTGGGTGAGTGGGTGAGTGAGTGGGTGGGTGAGTGAGTGGGTGGGTGAGTGGGTGGGTGAGTAGGTGGGTGAGTAGGTGGGTGAGTGGGTGAGTGAGTGGGTGGGTGAGTGAGTGGGTGGGTGAGTAGGTGGGTGAGTAGGTGGGTGAGTAGGTGGGTGAGTGGGTGAGTGAGTGGGTGGGTGAGTGAGTGGGTGGGTGAGTGGGTGGGTGAGTAGGTGGGTGAGTGAGTGGGTGAGTGGGTGGGTGAGTGGGTGGGTGAGTAGGTGGGTGAGTGAGTGGGTGAGTGAGTGGGTGAGTAGGTGGGTAGATCCATGGCAGTTCCACTGTGGGTGAGCTACGGGATGAGGAACCCCATGGGAAGCAGGCCTAGTGAACACTCCCCATGGGGATAGGCCTCACACCCAGGAATGTGTGGCTGTGAGGGGGTGTGTAGTGTGGTGTTTGTGTGTAGTGTGGTGTGTGTAGTGTGTGTGTAGTGTAGTGTGTGTGTAGTGTGTGTGTAGTGTGTGTATATGTACAGCTCTCTCTGAGTCTCTCTCTAGCCGTGCGTGGTGTCATCTTCCACAAAGTCCTTGGCTTGCTCCGCCGAGATCACATCGATGTGACTTACCTAGACAGTGACACACACACAGTGACACACGCAGTGTCACACACACAGTGTCACACAGTGTCACACACAGTGTCACACAGTGTCACACACAGTGTCACACAGTGTCACACACACACAGTGTCACACAGTGTCACACACACAGTGTCACACACACAGTGTCACACACAGTGTCACATGCAGTGTCACACACACAGTGTCACACACACACACAGTGTCACACACAGTGTCTCACACAAACACACAGTGTCACACACACAGTGTCACACGCAGTGTCTCACACAAACACACAGTGTCACACACAGTGTCACACACACACACAGTGTCACGCGCAGTGTCACACACACACAGTGTCACACACACACAGTGTCACACACACACAGTGTCACACACAGTGTCACACACAGTGTCACACACACAGTGTTACACACACAGTGACACACACAGTGACACACACAGTGTCACACAGTGTCACACACAGTGTCACACACAGTGTCACACACAGTGACACACACACACAGTGTCACACACAGTGTCACACACACAGTGTCACACACAGTGTCACACACACAGTGTCACACACACAGTGTCACACACACACACATTGTCACACACACATTGTCACACACACAGTGTCACACACACAGTGACACACACACAGTGTCACACACACAGTGTCACACACAGTGTCACACACACAGTGACACACACACAGTGTCACACACAGTGTCACACACAGTGTCACACACACAGTGTCACACACACAGTGTCACACACAGTGTCTCACAGACAGTGACACAAACACAGTGACACACGCAGTGTCACACACACAGTGTCACACACACAGTGTCACACACACAGTGACACACACACAGTGTCACACAGTGTCACACAGTGTCACACACACACACACAGTGTCACACAGTGTCACACACAGTGTCACACACACAGTGTCACACACACAGTGTCACACACACAGTGTCACACACACAGTGACACACACACAGTGTCACACACAGTGTCACACAGTGTCACACAGTGTCACACACACACACAGTGTCACACAGTGTCACACACAGTGTCACACACACACAGTGTCACACACACACAGTGTCACACACACACAGTGTCACACACACACAGTGTCACACACAGTGTCACACACAGTGTCACACACAGTGTCACACACACAGTGTTACACACACAGTGACACACACAGTGACACACACAGTGTCACACAGTGTCACACACAGTGTCACACACAGTGACACACACACACAGTGTCACACACAGTGTCACACACACAGTGTCACACACAGTGTCACACACACAGTGTCACACACAGTGTCACACACACAGTGTCACACACACACACATTGTCACACACACATTGTCACACACACAGTGTCACACACACAGTGACACACACACAGTGTCACACACACAGTGTCTCACACACACAGTGACACACACACAGTGTCACACACAGTGTCACACACATTGTCACACACACAGTGTCACACACACAGTGACACACACACAGTGTCACACACACAGTGTCACACACAGTGTCTCACAGACAGTGACACAAACACAGTGACACACGCAGTGTCACACACACAGTGTCACACACACAGTGACACACACACAGTGTCACACACAGTGTCACACAGTGTCACACAGTGTCACACACACACACACAGTGTCACACAGTGTCACACACACAGTGTCACACACACAGTGTCACACACACAGTGTCACACACACACACAGTGTCACACACAGTGTCACACAGTGTCACACAGTGTCACACACACACACAGTGTCACACAGTGTCACACACAGTGTCACACACACACAGTGTCACACACAGTGTCTCACACAAACACACAGTGTCACACACAGTGTCACACACAGTGTCACACACACAGTGTCACACACAGTGTCACACACACAGTGTCTCACAGACAGTGACACAAACACAGTGACACACGCAGTGTCACACACACAGTGTCACACACACAGTGTCACACACAGTGTCACACACACACACAGTGTCACACACAGTGTCACACAGTGTCACACAGCGTCACACAGTGTCACACACACAGTGTCACACAGTGTCACACACAGTGTCACACACACACACAGTGTCACACACACACAGTGTCACACACACAGTGTCACACACACACACAGTGTCACACACACACAGTGTCACACACACAGTGTCACACACACAGTGTCACACACACACAGTGTCACACACACACACAGTGTCACACACAGTGTTACACACACAGTGTCACACACACACAGTGTCACACAGTGTCACACACAGTGTCACACAGTGTCACACACACAGTGTCACACAGTGTCACACACACAGTGTCACACACACACAGTGTCACACACACACACACAGTGTCACACACACACACAGTGTCACACACAGTGTCACATAGTGTCACACACACAGTGTCACACACACAGTGTCACACGCACAGTGTCACACACACAGTGTCACACACACACAGTGTCACACACAACAACAACAACAACAACCGCCATTCGCCACTAAGTGGCGGTGACGTCACCACGACGCTTGTGCCAGGCTATGTGCACCCTGAGGCCACGTGAAGTGTCGAACGCCCGCTGGCAGGAGGTCACGGGGCAGACCCAGGTGCCACGGGTCGACTGACTGAGATGACTGGCTGATGCACCACCTGTGCCCCCTACTGTGCCAACCTGCTGTGCTTTAGCCACCCGGCGCTCCGCTCGCTGTTGTGAGCGTCGCTCCTCCGCCCTCCGTTGTTGTTGGAGGGCGACTGCCTCCAACTGCCCAGTAGCATCCTTCACGAGCCTCCTCCACAGAGGCCGATCTTGACACCGCTGGTACCAGTCATCGGCAAGTCCACTCAGCTCCACGTCCTCCTGTACCACATCACTCCATCTCTTCTCTAGCCCGTGCCGCGCCCGCTTAGCCCCCTCAATCCGGCCAAACAAAAGCTGTTTCGGCATGCGGTGGCTGGGCATGCGGGCTACATGACCCAGCCATCGCAGCCTTGCCTGCCGGAGGAGCTCACCGATGGGACCCTGCCCAGATCTTTCAAGGATTTGTGAGCTCCTCACACAATCCAGTCTGGTTAAACCCAAGATGGATCGTAGGCAGGTCAGCCTAAATGTTTCTAACCGGCGAAGATGTTCCATTAGGGGGGTCCACGTTTCGCAAGCGTAGAGAAGGGAGGGAATGACCGTGGCCGAGAAGACCTGAAGCTTAGTGCGGAGCGACAGACCAGGTAGCTTCCACACAGCATTACGCAACCGATGAAAAGATATTGCCGCTCGACTGATTCGGAGTGAGACCTCTGCTGTTAAACTGGAGCCAGTCATAAGCACACTGCCCAGGTATGGGAAACTCTCCACTCTCTCCACAACTGCCCCATCACCGATTGGGAGTTGTGGGGGTGGAGTGTCCGATGGTACAAAATACCCAGGCAGGTGCTTAGTTTTGGTGGGGCTGATGGTAAGGCCCCACCTCTTAGTGGCACGCTCCAGTCTCAGCAGCAGCGTCTCCAACTCCTTCTCTGACTGAGCAGCTATTACCAAGTCATCAGCATACATAACGTGGTTGAGCAATAGGGAGCCATCCCTTGACCGCACCCGGGCATCGATTAGCCTCCCATTATATCTGTACCATATGGAGATTCCCCCGGTACAGCTATTGAAGGCTTCACGAACTACGTGGTCAAAATAGATGTTAAATAATGTGGGAGCCAGAGGACATCCCTGTCGCACCCCAAGGTGTACAGGGAATGGCTCTGACTCCCGGCCACGTAGTTTTACCCGGGCCCGCTCACCATCATGAAGGTCCTTAATGATCGTGAGCAGAGGGTCAGGTACTCCAAAAGCACGGAGAACGACCCAGAGCCCAGGCCTACTGATGGTATCATAGGCCTTGACCAGGTCAATAAAGCAGAGATGTAGGTCTTGTTGGAATTCCCTACACCTCTGCTGTAGCAGACGGACAGAAAATATGGCATCTGTGCAGGACCGCCCTTTCCTGAAACCGCATTGGGGCTCCGCAAGCCTCTCCTCAGCGTGCCTGGCAAGGCGATGCTGAATAATCCTTGCCAGGACCTTTCCCGGCACACTGAGGAGTGAGATGCCCCTGTAGTTGTTACAGTCTGTGCGGTCCCCCTTCTTAAAAAGGGGGACCACCAGGGCATCCTTCCAATCCTGCGGAACCCGTCCAGTGGTCCAGACTGTTGTTATGATGTCATATAGGGCAGTCTGTGCACAAACGCCACCCTCCCTCAGCATTTCGCTTGGGAGATCATCTCTGCCCGCTGCCTTTCCTGGTCTCAGACTCCGGATCGCCTTCAATACTTCCTCAGCAGATGGCACCTCAGCCAGCCACTCACAGGGGGTGACTTCATCCAATATTTGAGGCACCGCAGCCTCAGCAGTGTCACACACACACACAGTGTCACACACACACACAGTGTCACACACACAGTGTCACACACACAGTGTACACACACACAGTGTACACACACACAGTGTCACACACAGTGTCACACACACACACAGTGTCACACACACACACAGTGTCACACACACAGTGTCACACACACAGTGTGACACACACAGTGTCACACAGTGTCACACACAGTGTCACACGCACACACAGTGTCACACGCAGTGTCTCACACACACACACAGTGTCACACACACAGTGTCACACACACAGTGTCACACACACAGTGTCACACACACAGTGTTACACACACAGTGTCACACACACACAGTGTCACACAGTGTCACACACACAAAGTGTCACACACACAAAGTGTCACACACACACAGTGTCACACACACACACAGTGTTACACACACACGTGTCACACACACAGTGTCACACACAGTGTCACACACACAGTGTCACACACATTGTGTACTGTGTGTGTGTAGTGTAGTGTGTGTACTGCGTGTATACTGCATGTACTGCATGTGTACTGTGTGTGAACTGTGTGTGTGTACTGTGTGTGTACTGCGTGTGTACTGTGTGTTGTGTACTATGTGTGTATACTGTGTGTGTACTGTGTGTTGTGTACTATGTGTGTATACTGTGTGTGTACTGTGTGTTGTGTACTATGTGTGTATACTGTGTGTGTACTGTGTGTGTACTGTGTATGTACTGTGTGTGTGTACTGTGTGTGTGTACTGTGTGTGTGTACTCTGTGTTCTGCGTGTGTGTACTGTGTGTGTTCTGCGTGTGTACTGTGTGTGTACTGCGTGTGTACTGCGTGTGTACTGAGTGTGTACTGTGTGTGTGTACTGTGTGTATACTGTGTGTATTGTGTGTGTACTGAGTGTGTACTGTGTGTGTGTACTGTGTGTATATACTGTGTATGTATACTGTGTGTGTACTGTGTGTGTACTGTGTGTGTACTGTGTGTATAGTGTGTGTACTGTGTGTGTTCTGTGTGTGTGTACTGTGTGTACTGTGTGTGTACTGTGTGTGTACTGTGTACTGTGTGTGTACTGTGTGTGTGTACTGTGTGTACTGTGTGTGTACTGTGTGTGTACTGTGTGTACTGCGTGTGTACTGTGTGTGTACTGTGTGTGTGTACTGTGTGTGTACTGTGTGTGTACTGTGTGTACTGCGTGTGTACTGTGTGTGTGTACTGTGTGTGTACTGTGTGTGTGTACTGTGTGTGTACTGTGTGTGTACTGCGTGTGTACTGTGTGTGTGTACTGTGTGTGTACTGTGTGTGTGTGTGTGTACTGTGTGTATACTGTGTACTGTGTGTACTGTGTGTGTTCTGCGTGTATACTGTGTGTGTGTGTACTGTGTGTATACTGTGTACTGTGTGTATACTGTGTTTATACTGTGTACTGTGTGTACTGTGTGTGTACTGTGTGTATACTGTGTGTGTGTGTGTCCTGTGTGTACTGTGTGTACTGTGTGTGTTCTGCGTGTATACTGTGTGTGTGTGTACTGTGTATGTATACTGTGTGTGTACTGTGTGTATACTGTGTGTGTACTGTGTGTGTGTAATGTGTGTGTGTACTGTGTGTGTACTGTGTGTGTACTGTGTGTGTGTACTGTGTGTGTGTACTGTGTGTATACTGTGTACTGTGTGTGTGTACTGTGTGTGTGTACTGTGTGTGTACTGTGTGTGTACTGTGTGTATACTGTGTACTGTGTGTGTGTACTGTGTACTGTGTGTGTACTGTGTGTGTACTGTGTACTGTGTGTATACTGTGTGTGTACTGTGTGTGTACTGTGTGTACTGTGTGTGTACTGTGTGTGTTCTGTGTGTGTACTGTGTGTGTACTGTGTGTGTACTGTGTGTGTACGGTGTGTACTGTGTGTGTACTGTGTGTGTATTGTGTGTGTGTACTGTGTGTACTGTGTGTGTACTGTGTGTGTGTACTGTGTGTATACTGTGTGTGTGTACTGTGTGTGTACTGTGTATACTGTGTGTGTGTACTGTGTGTGTACTGTGTGTGTGTACTGTGTGTGTAGTGTGTGTACTGTGTGTGTGTACTGTGTGTATACTGTGTACTGTGTGTGTGTACTGTGTGTGTACTGTGTGTGTACTGTGTGTACTGTGTGTGTACTGTGTGTGTGTACTGTGTGTGTACTGTGTGTGTGTACTGTGTGTGTACTGTGTGTGTGTACTGTGTGTATACTGTGTGTATACTGTGTGTGTGTACTGTGTGTGTGTACTGTGTGTGTATACTGTGTGTGTGTACTGTGTGTGTACTGTGTGTGTGTACTGTGTGTACTGTGTGTGTACTGTGTGTGTACTGTGTGTACTGTGTGTGTACTGTGTGTATACTGTGTGTGTATACTGTGTGTACTGTGTGTGTACTGTGTGTGTATACTGTGTGTACTGTGTGTGTACTGTGTGTGTGTACTGTGTGTGTACTGTGTGTACTGTGTGTGTACTGTGTGTGTGTACTGTGTGTGTACTGTGTGTGTACTGTGTGTGTGTACTGTGTGTGTACTGTGTGTGTACTGTGTGTGTATACTGTGTATACTGTGTGTACTGTGTGTGTACTGTGTGTACTGTGTGTGTACTGTGTGTGTATACTGTGTATACTGTGTGTACTGTGTGTGTACTGTGTGTGTACTGTGTGTGTGTACTGTGTGTGTACTGTGTGTGTGTACTGTGTGTGTACTGTGTGTGTGTACTGTGTGTGTACTGTGTGTGTGTACTGTGTGTGTGTACTGTGTGTGTGTACTGTGTGTGTACTGTGTGTGTACTGTGTGTGTATACTGTGTGTACTGTGTGTGTGTACTGTGTACTGTGTTTGTGTGTACTGTGTACTGTGTGTACTGTGTGTGTACTGTGTGTGTACTGTGTGTGTATTGTGTGTGTACTGTGTGTGTATACTGTGTGTACTGTGTGTGTACTGTGTGTGTACTGTGTGTGTATTGTGTGTGTACTGTGTGTGTATACTGTGTGTACTGTGTGTGTACTGTGTGTGTACTGTGTGTGTGTACTGTGTATACTGTGTGTGTGTACTGTGTGTGTACTGTGTGTGTGTACTGTGTGTGTACTGTGTGTGTGTACTGTGTGTGTGTACTGTGTGTGTACTGTGTGTGTACTGTGTGTGTATACTGTGTGTACTGTGTGTGTGTACTGTGTACTGTGTTTGTGTGTACTGTGTACTGTGTGTGTACTGTGTGTGTACTGTGTGTGTACTGTGTGTGTACTGTGTGTATACTGTGTGTGTACTGTGTGTGTACTGCGAGCATCACTTTGTGGCGGAACTTCACTCCGTAGAATTTGTCCGCTGACTCCAGCAGCTCCGGCCTGAACGTGGTGGTGATGAACTGGGCATGCTGGGACAACTCAGCAATCATGTCTACACACACGCACACACACACACATTCACACACACGCACACACACACATTCACACACACGCACACACACACACGCACACACACGCACACACACACACACATTCACACACACGCACATTCACACACACGCACACACACACACACGCACACACACACACACGCACACACACACACGCACACACACACACGCACACACGCACATTCACACACACGCACACACACACACGCACACACACACACGCACACACACACACGCACACACGCGCGGACACACACACGCGGACATATACACACACAGGGGTTTACACACAGGGGTTACACAGATGGGTTCACACACAGGGTACACACACATACAGGGTACACACACACACACAGGGTACACACACACACACAGGGTACACACACAGGGTACACACACACACACAGGGTACACACACACACACAGGGTACACACAGACACACAGGGTACACACACAGGGGATACACATACACAGGGCACACACACACACACAGGGTACACACACAGGGTACACACACACACAGGGTACACACACACACACAGGGGATACACACACACAGGGGATACACACACACAGGGTACACACACACAGTGTACACACACAGGTAGACACACACACACACAGGGTACACACACACACACAGGGTACACACACACAGAGGGTACACACACACAGAGGGGACACACACAGGGTACACACATAGTGGGTACACACACACACACAGTGTACACACACACACAGGGTACACACACAGAGGAGACACACACAGAGGGGACACACACACACAGCCTCTCTCTGTCTCTGTCTATCTCTCTCTGTGTCTCTCTCTCTGATTCTCTGTGTCTCTCTCTGTATCTGTCTATCTCTGTCTCTCTCTCTCTGTGTGTCTCTCTCTCTGTGTCTCTGTCTCTCTCTGTGTCTCTAGCTCTCTCTGTGTCTGTCTCTCTCTGTGTCTCTGTCTCTCTGTGTGTCTCTGTCTCTCTCTGTGTGTCTCTGTCTCTCTCTGTGTGTCTCTGTCTCTCTCTCTGTCTCTCTCTCTCTGTGTGTGTCTCTCTCTCTGCGTCTCTGTCTCTCTCTCTCTCTGTGTCTCTCTCTCACCAGACACAGCCTTGCGGTGCTGTGCGTCAAGTGCTTGGTCTATCTCGTCAAAGAGGTAGAACGGTGCTGGGTCGCATTTCTGGATGGCGAAGATGAGAGCCAGTGCCACGAGCGACTTCTGCCCGCCGGATAGCTGCTGCATCTCTCTCATCTCCGCCTGCTTGCCTGTGAACGATACCTGCAGAGACACGGAGACAGAGAGACACAGAGAGACACAGAGACACAGAGACACGGTGATTAGCGAGCTGCTGCATCTCTCTCATCTCCGCCTGCTTGCCTGTGAACGATACCTACAGAGACACGGAGACAGAGAGAGAGACACAGAGACACAGAGACACGGTGATTAGCGAGCTGCTGCATCTCTCTCATCTCCGCCTGCTTGCCTGTGAACGATACCTACAGAGACACGGAGACAGGGAGACAGAGAGACAGAGACAGAGAGACACACGGAGAGAGAGACACAGAGACAGAGAGACACAGAGACACAGAGACAGAGACACGGTGATGAGAGACACAGAGACACAGAGACACAGAGACACGGTGATTAGCGAGCTGCTGCATCTCTCTCATCTCCGCCTGCTTGCCTGTGAACGATACCTGCAGAGACACAGAGACAGAGACACGGAGACAGAGACACAGAGACAGAGACACAGAGAGACAGAGAGACACGGAGACACAGAGACAGAGACACGGTGATGAGAGACACAGAGACACAGAGACACAGAGACACGGTGATTAGCGAGCTGCTGCATCTCTCTCATCTCCGCCTGCTTGCCTGTGAACGATACCTGCAGAGACACGGAGACAGGGAGACAGAGACAGAGAGACAGAGACACAGAGACAGAGAGACACAGAGACACAGAGACACGGTGATTAGTGAGCTGCTGCATCTCTCTCATCTCCGCCTGCTTGCCTGTGAACGATACCTACAGAGACACAGAGACAGAGACACAGAGACAGAGACACAGAGAGACACAGAGACACAGAGAGACACAGAGACGCGGTGATTAGTGAGCTGCTGCATCTCTCTCATCTCCGCCTGCTTGCCTGTGAACGATACCTACAGAGACACGGAGACAGGGAGACAGAGAGACACAGAGACACAGAGACACAGAGACACGGTGATGAGAGACACAGAGACACAGAGACACGGTGATTAGCGAGCTGCTGCATCTCTCTCATCTCCGCCTGCTTGCCTGTGAACGATACCTGCAGAGACACGGAGACAGGGAGACAGAGAGACAGAGAGACAGAGAGACAGGGAGACACAGAGACACAGAGACACAGAGACAGAGAGACACAGAGACAGGGAGACAGAGAGACACAGAGACAGAGAGACACGGAGACAGGGAGACAGAGAGACACAGAGACAGAGAGACACAGAGACACAGAGACAGAGAGACACAGAGACACAGAGAGACACAGAGACACGGTGATTAGCGAGCTGCTGCATCTCTCTCATCTCCGCCTGCTTGCCTGTGAACGATACCTACAGAGACACAGAGACAGAGAGAGAGACACAGAGACAGAGAGACACGGAGACAGAGAGACACAGAGACACAGAGACACGGTGATTAGTGAGCTGCTGCATCTCTCTCATCTCCGCCTGCTTGCCTGTGAACGATACCTACAGAGACACGGAGACACAGAGACAGAGACACAGAGACAGAGAGACAGAGAGACACGGAGACACAGAGACAGAGACACGGTGATGAGAGACACAGAGACACAGAGACACAGAGACACGGTGATTAGCGAGCTGCTGCATCTCTCTCATCTCCGCCTGCTTGCCTGTGAACGATACCTACAGAGACACGGAGACAGAGACACAGAGAGACAGAGAGACAGAGAGACACAGAGACACACGGAGAGAGAGACACAGAGACACGGAGACACACGGAGAGAGAGACACAGAGACACGGAGACACACGGAGAGAGAGACACAGAGACAGAGAGACACAGAGACACAGAGACAGAGAGACACAGAGACAGAGAGACACAGAGACACGGTGATGAGAGAGCTGCTGCATCTCTCTCATCTCCGCCTGCTTGCCTGTGAACGATACCTGCAGAGACACAGAGACACACGGAGAGAGAGACACAGAGACACGGAGACACACGGAGAGAGAGACACAGAGACAGAGAGACACAGAGACACAGAGACACGGTGATTAGCGAGCTGCTGCATCTCTCTCATCTCCGCCTGCTTGCCTGTGAACGATACCTACAGAGACACGGAGACAGGGAGACAGAGACAGGGAGACAGAGACACAGAGACAGAGAGACACAGAGAGACACAGAGACAGAGAGACACAGAGACAGAGACACAGAGACACAGAGACACACGGAGAGAGAGACACAGAGACACGGAGACAGAGACACAGAGACACAGAGACACAGAGACACGGAGACAGAGACACAGAGACAGAGAGACACAGAGACACAGAGACACGGTGATTAGCGAGCTGCTGCATCTCTCTCATCTCCGCCTGCTTGCCTGTGAACGATACCTACAGAGACACAGAGACAGGGAGACAGAGACAGGGAGACAGAGACACAGAGACAGAGAGACACAGAGACACAGAGACACAGAGACAGAGAGACACAGAGACAGGGAGACAGAGAGACACAGAGACAGAGAGACACGGAGACAGGGAGACAGAGAGACACAGAGACAGAGAGACACAGAGACACAGAGACACAGAGACAGAGAGACACAGAGACACAGAGAGACACAGAGACACGGTGATTAGCGAGATGCTGCATCTCTCTCATCTCCGCCTGCTTGCCTGTGAATGATACCTACAGAGACACGGAGACAGGGAGACAGAGACACAGAGACACAGAGACACGGTGATGAGAGACACAGAGACAGAGAGACAGAGAGACACAGAGACAGAGAGACACAGAGACACGGTGATGAGAGACACAGAGACAGAGAGACAGAGAGACACAGAGACAGAGAGACACAGAGACACGGTGATGAGAGACACAGAGACAGAGAGACAGAGAGACACAGAGACAGAGAGACACAGAGACACAGAGACACGGTGATTAGAGAGCTGCTGCATCTCTCTCATCTCCGCCTGCTTGCCTGTGAACGATACCTACAGAGACACAGAGACAGAGAGACACAGAGACACGGAGACAGAGACACAGACACAGAGACACAGAGACACGGAGACAGAGACACAGAGACACGGAGACAGAGACACAGAGACAGAGACACAGAGGCACAGAGAAAGAGAGAGTAGTGTAGTGTATAGTAGTGTATAGTAGTGTATAGTGGTGTAGTGTATAGTAGTGTATAGTGGTGTAGTGTATAGTAGTGTATAGTGTAGTGTATAGTAGTGTAGTGTATAGTAGTGTTTAGTGGTGTAGTGTATAGTAGTGTATAGTGGTGTAGTGTATAGTGGTGTAGCGTATAGTAGTGTATAGTGGTGTAGTGTATAGTAGTGTATAATAGTGTAGTGTATAGTAGTGTATAGTGGTGTAGTGTATAGTAGTGTATAGTGTAGTGTATAGTAGTGTAGTGTATAGTGGTGTAGTGTATAGTAGTGTATAGTGGTGTAGTGTATAGCAGTGTATAGTGGTGTAGTGTATAGTAGTGTATAGTGTAGTGTATAGTAGTGTAGTGTATAGTAGTGTTTAGTGGTGTAGTGTATAGTAGTGTATAGTGGTGTAGTGTATAGTAGTGTTTAGTGGTGTAGTGTATAGTAGTGTATAGTGGTGTAGTGTATAGTGGTGTAGTGTATAGTAGTGTATAGTGGTGTAGTGTATAGTAGTGTATAATAGTGTAGTGTATAGTAGTGTATAGTGGTGTAGTGTATAGTAGTGTATAGTGTAGTGTATAGTAGTGTAGTGTATAGTAGTGTATAGTGTAGTGTATAATGTAGTGTAATGTAGTGTATAATGTAGTGTATAATGTAGTGTATAGTGTAGTGTATAGTGTAGTGTAATGTAGTGTATAGTGTAGTGTATAGTGCAGTGTATAGTGTAGTGTAATGTAGTGTATAGTGTAGTGTATAGTGCAGTGTATAGTGTAGTGTATAATGTAGTGTATAGTGTATAGTAATGTAGTGTATAATGTAGTGTATAGTGTAGTGTATAATGTAGTGTATAGTGTAGTGTATAATGTAGTGTATAGTGTAGTGTATAGTGCAGTGTAGTGACCCGGATGCTGACTCCCGTGAACTGCTCGATGGAGGGGACGTTGCCGCCGCTGCCGCTGCTGCCGCTGCTGCTGCCGTGCGAGGGGCCGGGGTCCCCGCCGGAGCCACCAGCCCCACCGCCATCCCCTCCATCGTCCTGGCCGCCCGCTGAGCCACCAGCGGCGGCGGCCCCGGCCCCGGCCCCGGCCCCATCAATGTCGCCCTTCTTCATGATGAGCGTCGCCTTGCCGCCCGGCACCAGCTTCTGGAAGACCTCGCTGAAGTTGCGAGACACCTGGGAGGTGGTGAGGGTGGTGGTGAGGGTGGTGGTGAGGGTGGTGGTGGTGGTGGTGGTGAGGGTGGTGGTGGTGAGGGTGGTGGTGGTGAGCAGGGGGAGATGGTGAGGGTGGTGGTGGTGGTGAGCAGGGGGAGATGGTGAGGGTGGTGAGCGGGGGGAGATGGTGAGGGTGGTGGTGGTGAGCGGGGGAGATGGTGAGGGTGGTGGTGGTGAGGGTGGTGGTGGTAAGCGGGGGGAGATGGTGAGGGTGGTGGTGGTGAGCGGGGGGAGATGGTGAGGGTGGTGGTGGTGAGCGGGGGAGATGGTGAGGGTGGTGGTGGTGAGGGTGGTGGTGGTAAGCGGGGGGAGATGGTGAGGGTGGTGAGCGGGGGGAGATGGTGAGGGTGGTGAGCGGGGGGAGATGGTGAGGGTGGTGGTGGTGAGCAGGGGAGATGGTGAGGGTGGTGAGCGGGGGGAGATGGTGAGGGTGGTGGTGGTGGTGAGCGGGGGGAGATGGTGAGGGTGGTGGTGGTGGTGGTGAGGGTGGTGGTGGTGGTGAGGGTGGTGGTGGTGGTGAGGGTGGTGGTGAGGGTGGTGGTGGTGAGGGTGGTGGAGGAGCAGGAGGAAGCGGTAGAGGAGGAGGTGGGAGAGGTGGTGGAGGAGGAAATGAGGGGACACACGTGGTGGTGTCTCTGTCTCTGTGTCTCTCTCTCTGTGTCTCTGTCTCTCTCTGTCTCTCTCTATCTCTGTGTGTGTGTGTCTCTGTCTCTCTGTGTGTCTATATCTCTCTGTGTGTCTCACCTGTGTGAAGGTGAGCTCTGTCTCTGTGTGTCTCTGTCTCTGTGTGTCTCTCTCTGTGTGTCTCTCTCTGTGTGTCTCTGTCTCTCTGTGTCTCTCTCTGTGTCTATATCTCTCTGTGTGTCTCACCTGTGTGAAGGTGAGCTGTGTCTCTGTGTGTCTCTGTGTGTCTCTCTGTGTGAAGGTGAGCTGTGTCTCTGTGTCTCTCTGTGTGTATCTGTCTCTGTGTGTCTCTCTGTGTGAAGGTGAGCTGTGTCTCTGTGTCTCTCTCTGTGTTATTCTGTGTGTCTCTGTCTCTTTGTGTGTCTCTCACCTGTGTGAAGGTGAGCTGTGTCTCTGTGTGTCTCTGTGTGTCTCTGTCTCTGTGTGTCTCTCTGTGTGAAGGTGAGCTGTCTCTCTGTGTGTCTCTGTCTCTCTGTGTCTCTGTGTGTCTCTCTATGTGTTATTCTGTGTGTCTCTGTCTCTTTGTGTGTCTCTCTGTGTGTCTCTCACCTGTGTGAAGGTGAGCTGTGTCTCTGTGTGTCTCTCTCTGTGTCTCTCTCTGTGTCTCTGTGTGTCTCTCTACGTGTTATTCTGTGTGTCTCTGTCTCTCTGCGTGTCTCTGTCTCTCTGTGTGTCTCTCTGTGTGTCTCTCACCTGCGTGAAAGTGAGCTGTGTCTCTGTCTCTCTGTGTCTCTGTGTGTCTCTGTGTCTCTGTCTCTCTGCGTGTCTCTGTCTCTCTGTGTGTCTCTCTGTGTGTCTCTCACCTGCGTGAAAGTGAGCTGTGTCTCTGTCTCTCTGTGTCTCTCTGTGTCTCTCTGTGTCTCTGTGTGTCTCTGTGTCTCTGTGTGTCTCTGTCTCTCTGTGTGTCTCTCTGTGTCTCTCACCTGCTTGAAAGTGAGCTGTGTCTCTGTGTCTCTCTCTCTGTGTCTCTCTCTGTGTCTCTCTGTGTGTGTCTCTGTCTCTCTGTGCCTCTCTGTCTCTGTGTGTCTCTCACCTGCTTGAAAGTGAGCTGTGTCTCTGTGTGTCTCTCTGTGTGTGTCTCTCTGTGTCTCTGTGTGTCTCTCTGTGTATCTCTGTGTGTCTCTCTGTGTGTCTCTCACCTGCTTGAAAGTGAGCTGTGTCTCTGTCTCTCTGTGTGTCTCTCTCTGTGTCTCTGTGTCTCTCTGTGTGTCTCTGTGTCTCTGTGTCTCTCTGTCTCTCTCTGTGTCTCTCTGTATGTCTCTCACCTGCTTGAAAGTGAGATGTGTCTCTGTCTCTCTGTGTGTCTCTGTGTCTCTGTCTTTCTCTCTCTCTGTCTCTCTGTGTGTCTCTCAGTGTGTGTCTCTGTCTCTCTGTGTGTCTCTGTGTGTCTCTCTGTGTGTCTCTCACCTGCTTGAAAGTGAGCTGTCTCTGTCTCTCTCTCTGTGTGTCTCTGTCTCTCTGTGTCTCTGTGTGTCTCTGTGTCTCTCTCTGTGCGTCTCTCACCTGCTTGAAAGTGAGCTGTATGGCTTCGTATTTGCGCAGCTCCAGCACGTTCATGAGCTCCATGATGGACTTGTAGCCTCGGTCGAGCTCCTCCTGCCGTTTCATCAGCTTCTCCTTCTGTTCCGAGAAGTTCACAAACTGGTCCAGCGCCTTCTTGTTCACGTGGCCATACTTCTTCAGCTCCTGGTTGCACTGTTCCAGCTTCTTGAACAGCTGAGGCACGGCGGGAGAGAGAGAGAGACACGGTGGGAGAGAGAGAGAGACACGGTGAGAGAGACACGGTGAGAGAGAGACACGGGGGGAGAGAGACACGGGGGGAGAGAGACACGGGGGGAGAGAGACACGGGGGGAGAGAGACACGGGGGGAGAGAGACACGGTGAGAGAGACACGGCGGGAGAGACACGGCGAGAGAGACACGGGGGGAGAGACACGGGGGGAGAGACACGGTGAGAGAGACACGGGGGGAGAGAGACACGGCGAGAGAGACACGGTGAGAGAGACACGGTGAGAGAGAGACACGGAGAGAGAGACACAGTGAGAGAGAGACAGAGAGAGACACGGTGAGAGAGAGACACGGAGAGAGAGACACGGTGAGACACGGTGAGAGAGACACGGTGAGAGAGAGAGAGACACGGTGAGAGAGACACGGTGAGAGAGAGACACGGCGAGAGAGACACGGTGAGAGAGACACGGTGAGAGAGAGACACGGAGAGAGAGACACAGTGAGAGAGAGACAGAGAGAGACACGGTGAGAGAGAGACACGGAGAGAGAGACACGGTGAGACACGGTGAGAGAGACACGGTGAGAGAGAGAGAGACACGGTGAGAGAGACACGGGGGGAGAGACACGGCGAGAGAGACACGGGGGGAGAGACACGGTGAGAGAGAGAGACACGGTGAGAGAGAGACACAGTGAGAGAGAGAGAGACACGGCGGGAGAGAGAGAGACACGGTGAGAGAGACACGGGGGGAGAGACACGGCGAGAGAGACACGGGGGGAGAGACACGGTGAGAGAGAGAGACACGGCGGGAGAGAGACACGGTGAGAGAGACACGGTGAGACACACAGTGAGAGAGACACGGTGAGAGAGACACGGTGAGAGAGACACGGTGAGAGAGAGACACAGTGAGAGAGAGACACGGTGAGAGAGACACGGTGAGAGAGAGGGGGCGTCTCACTCCTCAGCGTGCCCCTGTAGTTGTTACAGTCTGTGCGGTCCCCCTTCTCAAAGAGGGGGACCACCAGGGCATCCTTCCAATCCTGCGGAACCCGTCCAGTGGTCCAGACTGTTGTTATGATGTCATATAGGGCAGTCTGTGCACAAACTCCACCCTCCCTCAGCATTTCGCTTGGGAGATCATCTCTGCCCGGTTGCCTTTCCTGGTCTCAGACTCCGGATCGCCCTCAGTACTTCCTCAGCAGATGGCACCTCAGCCAGCCACTCACAGGGGGTGACTTCCTCCTCCAATATTTGAGGCACCGCAGCCTCAGCAGGGTCATCCCCACTTTGTTCCCACGATGTTTTCCTGGCTGAGGGATCCCACCTCCACCTCCACCCCCCACCCAGTACGCCTCACAGAATTGCTCGGCAAATCCGCACACCTGTCCCTGGTTTGCAGCAGGGGTTCGGAGATTGGATCACCCTTCTTTCACCTAATCACGCTCGGGCGCTGCAAGGTTGCTTTCTCGACCGAGCTAAATAGGAATTTGTGATCGCGGGCCACTGAGTCGGACTTCACACACACACACAGTATACCAAACACACGGCAACACACACACACGGGCAGACCCTCACCTGCTTGAGTGACAGGTTCTGGTACTTCTCAAAGGCGTCCAGTGGCAGAGATCCCAGCTCCCGGATTCGTTTCATGTAGTCGTCCTTCTTCTTGAGCAGCATGCTCTGCCGATTAGTCATCTTGTCCAGCTCCTTGGCGTCGTGGTTGATGGCCTCCAGCTGCTCCTTCTCGCGCCCCTTCCACGAGTCCATCGTCCGCTGCAGCTCCTTGATCTCGCCCTCCAGCTTGTCCGTCAGCACGTCCAGCTCTGGAGAGAGAGAGACAGGGAGAGAGAGAGACACGGGGAGAGAGAGACAGAGAGAGAGAGACACGGAGACAGAGACACACAGAGAGAGACACACGGAGAGACAGACACAGAGAGAGACTCACTCACACACTCACTCACACAGAGCTGCTTGATCTCTCCCTCCAGCTTGTCCGTCAGCACGTCCAGCTCTGGAGAGAGAGAGACAGGGAGAGAGAGACAGGGAGAGAGAGAGACACAGAGAGAGAGAGACACGGAGACAGAGACACAGAGAGAGAGAGACACAGAGAGACAGACACAGAGAGAGAGACTCACTCACACGCACTCACACAGAGCTGCCTGATCTCTCCCTCCAGCGTGTCCGTCAGCACGTCCAGCTCTGGAGAGAGAGAGATGGAGAGAGAGACAGGGAGAGAGAGAGAGAAAGACACGGGGAGAGAGAGACAGAGAGAGAGAGAGAGACGGAGAGAGAGACAGAGACACGGGGAGAGAGAGACAGAGACAGACAGAGACAGACTCACTCACACACACTCACACAGAGCTGCTTGATCTCTCCCTCCAGCTTGTCCGTCAGCACGTCCAGCTCTGGAGAGAGAGGGAGAGAGAGAGACACGGGGAGAGAGAGACAGGGAGAGAGAGAGACACGGAGACAGAGACACAGAGAGAGACACAGAGACAGACTCACTCACACTCACTCACACAGAGCTGCTTGATCTCTCCCTCCAGCTTGTCCGTCAGCACTTCCAGCTCTAAAGAGTGAGACAGAGACACGGAGAGAGACAGAGAGAGAGAGACATGGAGACAGAGACACAGAGAGAGAGAGACACGGAGAGAGAGACGCAGAGAAACAGAGACAGACACAGAGAGAGACTCACTCACACACACTCACACAGAGCTCCTTGATGTCTCCCTCCAGCTTGTCCGTCAGTACGTCCAGCTCTAGAGAGACACGGTAAGAGAGACACGGTGAGAGAGACACGGTGAGAGACACGGAGAGAGACAGAGACACGGAGAGAGACAGAGACACGGAGAGACACGGAGAGACAGACAGAGACACACTCACTCACACAGAGCTGCTTGATCTCTCCCTCCAACTTGTCCGTCAGCACGTCCAGCTTTAGAGAGACACGGAGAGAGACACGGAGAGAGAGACGGTGAGAGAGACAGGGAGAGAGACAGAGACACGGAGAGACAGAGACAGACACAGAGAGAGACTCACTCACACACACACTCACACAGAGCTCCTTGATGTCTCCCTCCAGCTTGTCCGTCAGCACGTCCAGCTCTGGAGAGAGACGGAGAGCGAGTGTTTTGGTGAGCGTTCTGGTGAGCATTTGGGCGAGCGTTTTGGTGAGCGAGTGTTTTGGTGAGCGTTCTGGTAAGCGTTTTAGTGAGTGTTTTGGTGAGCGGTCTGGTGAGTGTTTTGGTGAGCGTTTTGGTGAACGGGTGTTTTGGTGAACGGGTGTTTTGGTGAGCGAGCGTTTTGGCGAGTGTTCTGGTGATCGTTTTGGCGAGTGTTCTGGTGATCGTTTTGGTGATCGTTTTGGCGAGTGTTCTGGTGATCGTTTTGGTGAGTGTTCTGGTGAGCGTTTTGGCGCATGTTTTGGTGAACGGGTGTTTTGGTGAGCGAGCGTTTTGACGAGTGTTCTGGTGATCGTTTTGGTGAGTGTTCTGGTGATCGTTTTGGCGAGTGTTCTGGTGATCGTTTTGGTGAGTGTTCTGGTGAGCGTTTTGGCGCATGTTTTGGTGAACGGGTGTTTTGGTGAGCGAGCGTTTTGGCGAGTGTCCTGGTGATCGTTTTGGCGAGTGTTCTGGTGATCGTTTTGGCGAGTGTTCTGGTGATCGTTTTGGCGAGTGTTCTGGTGATCGTTTTGGTGAGTGTTCTGGTGATCGTTTTGGCGAGTGTTCTGGTGATCGTTTTGGTGAGTGTTCTGGTGAGCGTTTTGGCGCATGTTTTGGTGAACGGGTGTTTTGGTGAGCGAGCGTTTTGGCGAGTGTCCTGGTGATCGTTTTGGCGAGTGTTCTGGTGATCGTTTTGGCGAGTGTTCTGGTGAGCGTTTTGGTGAGTGAGTGTTTCACCCTCGGAGCGTTTCGTGGTGTCTCCGATACGCTTGTTGAAGGCCTCCAACTCTGAGTTGGTGGTGCTGAGAGTTTTGTTACTCTCTGTCTCACGGATCTCATTCAGCTCCTACACAGACACACAGACACACACAGAGACACACAGAGACACACAGTCACACACATAGACACAGAGACACAGACAGACACAAAGAGAAAGAGACACACAGAGACACACAGACACACAAAGACACAGAGTTGGTGGTGCTGAGAGTCTTGTTACTCTCTGTCTCACGGATCTCATTCAGCTCCTACACAGACACACAGACGCACACAGACACACACAGAGACACACAGTCACACACAGACACACATAGACACAGAGACACAGACAGACACAAAGAGACAGAGACACACAGAGACACAGAGACACACAGAGACAGAGTTGGTGGAGCTGAGAGTCTTGTTACTCTCTGTCTCACGGATCTCATTCAGCTCCTACACAGAGAGACACAGAGAGAGAGACACAAAGACACACAGAGACACAGAGAGACACAGACAGACAGAGAGAGAGAGACACAAAGACACACAGAGACACAGAGAGACACAGAGAGACAGAGACACAAAGACACACAGAGACACAGAGAGACAAAGACAGACAGAGAGGGAGACACAAAGACACACAGAGACACAGAGAGACACAGACAGACACACAGAGACACACAGAGACAGAGTTGGTGGAGCTGAGAGTCTTGTTACTCTCTGTCTCACGGATCTCATTCAGCTCCTACACAGAGAGACACAGAGAGAGAGACACAAAGACACACAGAGACACACAGAGACACAGACAGACAGAGAGAGAGACACAAAGACACACAGAGACACAGAGAGACACAGAGAGACAGAGACACAAAGACACACAGAGACACAGAGAGACACAGACAGACAGAGAGGGAGACACAAAGACACACAGAGACACAGAGAGACACAGACAGACAGAGAGAGACACACAAAGACACACAGACACAGACAGACACAGAGAGACAGACACAACGAGACACAGTGGGGAGCGGTCGTGTAGTGGTTAGCGCTACGCTGTGCTACAAAACTGGGCCAACACCGGTGACGATTATCTGAACCGGTCCTGGGCCTCGAATGAGTAGCTGGTGTAGCGGTGGTGGTGTAGTAACCATCGCTAGCACTGGGAAGACAAAGGCGGCCGGGCGTGGTGCTAGCCACCCACCCCATCGTGTGCCGTGCCGGCCTTCATAGGTGCTCGCTAACAGCACTTGCCCCTACAGCCTGTTAAGGCTACACGGGGGATCTTTGTCATTGAGTGGGTGGGTGAGTGGGTGGGTGAGTGGGTGAGTGAGTGGGTGAGTGAGTGAGTGGGTGAGTGGGTGGGTGAGTGGGTGGGTGAGTGAGTGGGTGGGTGAGTGAGTGGGTGGGTGGGTGAGTGAGTGAGTGGGTGAGTGGATGAGTGAATGGGTGGGTGAGTGGGTGAGTGAGTGGGTGAGTGAGTGAGTAGGTGAGTGAGTGAGTTAGTGAGTGGGTGGGTGGGTGAGTGAGTGAGTGGGTGAGTGAGTGGGTGAGTGAGTTGGTGAGTGAGTGAGTGGGTGAGTGAGTGGGTAAGTGAGTGAGTGAGAGAGTGGGTGAGTAAGTGGCTGAGTGAGTGGGTGAGTGGGTGAGTGAGTGAGTGAGTGGGTGAGTGGGTGAGTGAGTGGGTGAGTGGGTGAGTGAGTGAGTGGGTGAGTTGGTGAGTGAGTGGGTGGGTGAGTGGTGAGCGAGTGGGTGAGTGAGTGGGTGGGTGAGTGAGAGAGTGAGTGGGTGAGTGAGTGAGTGGGTGAGTGGGTGAGTGAGTGGGTGAGTGAGTTGGTGAGGGAGTGGGTGGGTGAGTGGTGAGCGAGTGGGTGAGTGAGTGCGTGGGTGAGTGAGTGAGTGAGTGAATGAGTGAGTGAGTGGGTGGGTGGGTGGGTGAGTGGGTGAGTGAGTGGGTGGGTGAGTGAGTGAGTGGGTGAGTGAGTGAGTGGGTGAGTGAGTTGGTGAGTGAGTGGGTGAGTGAGTTGGTGAGTGAGTGGGTGGGTGAGTGGTGAGCGAGTGGGTGAGTGAGTGGGTGGGTGGGTGAGTGAGTGGGTGGGTGAGTGAGTGGGTGGGTGGGTGGGTGAGTGAATGGGTGAGTGAGTGGGTGAGTGAGTGGGTGAGTGAATGAGTGAGTGAGTGAGTGGTGAGCGAGTGGGTGAGTGAGTGGGTGGGTGGGTGAGTGAGTGAGTGGGTGAGTGAGTGAGTGGTGAGTGGGTGAGTGAGTGGCTGAGTGAGTGGTGAGTGAGTGGGTGAGTGAGTGGGTGGGTGGGCGAGTGGGTGTGTGAGTGGCTGAGTGAGTGGGTGAGTGAGTGAGTGAGTGGGTGGGTGAGTGGCTGAGTGAGTGGTGAGTGAGTGGGTGAGTGAGTGGGTGGGTGGGCGAGTGGGTGTGTGAGTGGCTGAGTGAGTGGGTGAGTGAGTGAGTGGGTGAGTGAGTGGCTGAGTGAGTTGTGAGTGACTCACCGCTTCCACCTGGTCCAGTCTCTTGCGTAGGTTCTCATTGAGGTACGTCTCCAGACGAGTCATGATGCTTTCGTACTTGATTCGCTCGTTGAGCAGCTGGCGATTCTCCTACTCTCGCAACACAACACACACAGTCACACACACAGTCACACACACACAGTCACACACACACACAGTCACACACACAGTCACACACACACACACAGTCACACACACACACAGTCACACACACACACACACAGTCACACACACACAGTCACACACACAGTCACACACACACACAGTCACACACGCAGTCACACACACAGTCACACACACACAGTCACACACACACAGTCACACACACACACAGTCACACACACACACAGTCACACACACAGTCACACACAGTCACACACACAGTCACACACAGTCACACACACAGTCACACACACACAGTCACACACACACACAGTCACACACACACACAGTCACACACACACACACAGTCACACACACAGTCACACACACAGTCACACACACACAGTCACACACACACACAGTCACACACACACACAGTCACACACACACACAGTCACACACACACACAGTCACACACACACACAGTCACACACACAGTCGCACACACAGTCACACACACACACAGTCACACACACAGTCACACACACAGTCACACACACACACAGTCACACACACACACAGTCACACACACAGTCACACACACAGTCACACACACACACACACAGTCACACACACACACAGTCACACACACACACACAGTCACACACACACACAGTCACACACACACACACAGTCACACACACACACACACACAGTCACACACACACACAGTCACACACACAGTCACACACACACACAGTCACACACACACACAGTCACACACACAGTCACACACACACACAGTCACACACACAGTCACACACACACACAGTCACACACACACACAGTCACACACACACACAGTCACACACACACACAGTCACACACACACACACAGTCACACACACACACAGTCACACACACACACACAGTCACACACACACACACAGTCACACACACACACAGTCACACACACACACAGTCACACACACAGTCACACACACAGTCACACACACAGTCACACACACACACACAGTCACATACACACAGTCACACACACACACACACACAGTCACACACAGTCACACACACAGTCACACACACAGTCACACACACAGTCACAGTCACACACACAGTCACACACACACACAGTCACACACACACAATCACACAGTCACACACACAGTCACACACACACAGTCACACACACAGTCACACACACAGTCACACACACACACACTCACACAGTCACACACACAGTCACACACACACACAGTCACACACACAGTCACACACACAGTCACACACACACACACACAGTCACACACACACAGTCACACACACACACAGTCACACACACAGTCACACACACAGTCACACACACACACAGTCACACACACACAGTCACACACACACACAGTCACACACACAGTCACACACACACACACACACAGTCACACACAGTCACACACACAGTCACACACACAGTCACACACACAGTCACACACACACCCCCCACACAGTCACACACACACACAGTCACACACACACACAGTCACACACAGTCACACACACAGTCACACACAGTCACACACAGTCACACACACAGTCACACACACAGTCACACACAGTCACACACACACAGTCACACACACACCCCACACACACACACACAGTCAAACACACACACCCGCGGTCACGCACACACACAGTCACGCACACACACAGTCACACACACACCCCACACACACACACACAGTCACACACACACCCCACACACACACACACAACCGACACACACAGTCACACACACACACCCCACACCCACGGTCACGCACACACACAGTCACGCACACACACAGTCACGCACACACACAGTCACACACACACACAGTCACACACACACACAGTCACACACACACACAGTCACACACACACACAGTCACGCACACACACAGTCACACACACACACAGTCACGCACACACACAGTCACGCACACAGTCACGCACATACACAGTCACACACACACACAGTCACACACACACACAGTCACGCACACACACAGTCACGCACACAGTCACACACACAGTCACACACACACACACACAGTCACACACACAAAGACAAAGATCCCCCGTATAGCCTTAACAGACTGTAGGGGCAAGTGCTGTTAGCGAGCACCTATGAAGGCCGGAACGGTACACGAGGGGGTGGGTGGCCAGCACCACGCCCGACCGCCTTTGTCTCCCTAGTGACGATGTTTACACACCGCACCAGGTACTCATTTGAGGCTGAGTCGACCTAGGGGAGGCCCGGGACCGGTTCAGATAATCGTCACTGGTGTTGGCCGTGAGCGGGAATCGAACCCGGGTCGCCAGGTTCATAGCGCAGCGTAGCGCTAACCGCTACACTATCGCTCCCCACACACACACAGTCACACACACACACAGTCACACACACACACACAGTCACACACACAATCACACGCACAATCACACACACACAGTCACACACACACAGTCACACACACACACAGTCACACACACACAGTCACACACACACCCCACACACACACAGACACACACACAGTCACACACAGTGACACACACAGTGACACACACACACAGTGACACACACACAGTCACACACACACCCCACACACACACACACACAGTCACACACACAATCACACACAGTCACACACACACACAGTCAGACACACAGTCACACACCTGCCCTCTCACCCACCCACCCACTCGCCCACTCACCCACCCCCCCCACTCGCTCACCTGTTCGCCCACTCGCGCACTCACTCACCCACCCTCACCACCCTCACCACCCTCACCACCTTCACCACCCTCACCCACCCGCTCACCCACTCACCCTCCCACTCACCCACTCACCCTCACCACACTCACCACCCCTCACCCACCAGCTGCAGCGCCCGTATCTCGTCGTTGAGGGCGTCCACTCACTCACCCGCTCACCCACCCGCTCACCCACCCTCACCCTCACTCACCCACTCACCCTCACCACCCTCACCCACCCACTCTCCCTCACCACCCTCACCCACCCTCACCACCCTCACCACCCTCACCCACCCCTCACCCACCAGCTACAGCGCCCGTATCTCGTCGTTGAGGGCGTCCACTCACTCACCCTCACCCACCCACTCTCCCTCACCACCCTCACCACCCTCACCACCCTCACCCACCCTCACCCACCCACCCTCACCACCTTCACCACCCTCACCCACCCACTCTCCCTCACCACCCTCACCACCATCACCATCACCACCACCACCACCATCACCACCACCACCATCACCACCACCATCACCACCACCATCACCACCCTCACCACCCTCACCACCCTCACCACCCTCACCCACTCACCCTCACCACCCTCACCACCCTCACCCACCAGCTGCAGCGCCCGTATCTCGTCGTTGAGGGCGTCCACTCGCTGTTGGTCCGACACGCTGAGCTGGGACAGGAGGTCTGTACCCAGCTCGGCCTTTAGCGATTCACGAGTTGACTCCATGGCACGCAGACTCGCCTCCAGGCTCTGTAGGCTACGCTGCTGCACTCCGCAAGCGTCACACCAGCACAGCAGCGTCATACCAACAGGGCCACGGGCCGCCACCACCACCACCACCACCACTACCACGGTGTGATAGCAACAACAACACCACTAATACCACGGTGTGATACCAACACCACCACCACCACTAATACCACGGTGTGATACCAACACCACCACCACCACCACTACTACCACGGTGTGATACCAACACCACCACCACCACTAATACCACGGTGTGATACCAACAACACCACCACCACCACTACCACGGTGTGATAGCAACACCACCACCACTAATACCACGGTGTGATAACACCAACACCACCACCACTACCACTAATACCACAGTGTGATACCAACTCCAAATGGTGATGCTGCTAACACTGCGACTGCTGCTCATCATGATGATGCTACTGTTGCTACTGCTGATACTACTATTGCTACTACTGCTGCTGCTACTACTACTGTTGCTACTGCTACTACTGCTGCTGATACTACTGCTGCTGAAACTACTGCTGCTGCTACTACTACTACTGCTGCTACTACTGCTGCTACTACTACTACTGCTACTACTACTACTGCTACTACTACTACTGCTGCTACTACTGCTGCTACTACTGCTACTACTGCTGCTGCTGTTACTACTGCTGCTACTACTGCTACTACTACTACTGCTGCTGCTACTACTGCTGCTACTACTACTACTGCTACTACTACCACTACTGCTACTACTGCTACTACTACTGCTACTACTGCTGCTACTACTGCTACTACTGCTGCTACTACTGCTACTACTACTGCTACTACTGCTACTACTACTGCTACTACTGCTACTACTACTGCTACTACTACTGCTACTACTGCTGCTACTACTGCTACTACTGCTGCTACTACTGCTGCTACTACTGCTACTACTACTGCTACCACTGCTACTACTACTACTGCTACTACTGCTGCTACTACTGCTACTACTACTACTACTGCTGCTACTACTACTGCTGCTACTACAGCTACAACTACTGCTGCTGCTACTACTGCTGCTGCTACTACTACTGCTGCTACTACAGCTACAACTACTGCTGCTGCTACTACTACTGCTACTACTACCACTACTGTTACTACTACTGCTACTACTACTGCTACTACCACTACTACTACTACTGCCACTGCTGCCTCTCACCTTGGGCATGAACGTTTTATCGCTCTGCTGGCGCTTCTCCTTCACCATCTTCATGTCCGACAGGATGCTATCCCGGGACGCCTTCAGCTTGCGCTGCTGCGTCTCCATCTGCTGCATGCCGTTCATCAGCTGGTCGATCTCGTTGTTGATGCGTGGCACTCAGTCAAGGGCTCATACACTCACTCAGACTCACTCACTCAGAGACTCACTCACTCATACACTCACTCAGACTCACTCACTCACTCATACACTCAGTCACTCATACACTCACTAAGACTCAGTCACTCATACACTCACTAAGACTCACTCACTCATACACTCAGTCACTCATACACTCACTCACTCATGCACTCACTCAGACTCACTCACTCATACACTCACTCACTCATACACTCACTCAGACTCACTCACTCAGAGACTCACTCACTCATACACTCACTCACTCATACACTCAGTCACTCAGAGACTCACTCAGACTCACTCACTCATACACTCACTCAGTCACTCATACACTCACTCACTCACTCATACACTCAGTCACTCATACACTCAGTCACTCAGAGACTCACTCACTCACTCATACACTCACTCACTCATACACTCAGTCACTCATACACTCAGTCACTCAGAGACTCACTCACTCACTCATACACTCACTCACTCATACACTCAGTCACTCATACACTCACTCAGACTCACTCACTCAGAGACTCACTCACTCATACACTCACTCACTCATACACTCACTCAGACTCACTCATACACTCACTCACTCATACACTCACTCAGACTCACTCATACACTCACTCACTCATACATTCACTCATACACTCAGTCACTCATACACTCACTCACTCATACATTCACTCATACACTCAGTCACTCATACACTCAGTCACTCATACACTCACTCACTCATACATTCACTCATACACTCAGTCACTCATACACTCAGTCACTCAGAGACTCACTCACTCATACACTCATACACTCACTCAGACTCACTCACTCATACACTCATACACTCACTCATACACTCACTCAGAGACTCACTCACTCATACACTCAGTAACTCAGACACTCACTCACTCAGAGACTCACTCACTCAGAGACTCACTCAGACTCACTCACTCACACACTCAGTCACTCATACATTCACTCATACACTCAGTCACTCACTCACTCAGAGACTAACTCACTCATACACTCAGTCACTCATACACTCAGTCACTCATACACTCACTCAGACTCACTCATACACTCACTCACTCATACATTCACTCATACACTCAGTCACTCATACACTCACTCACTCATACACTCACTCACTCAGAGACTCACTCAGACTCACTCACTCATACACTCACTCACTCATACATTCACTCATACACTCAGTTACTCACTCACTTATACACTCACTCACTCATACACTCACTCATACACTCACTCACTCACTCATACACTCAGTCACTCACTCACTCATACACTCACTCATACACTTACTCATACACTCACTCATACACTTACTCAGACTCACTCAGACTCACTCACTCACTCATACACTCACTCACTCATACATTCACTCATACACTCAGTCACTCACTCACTCAGACTCACTCACTCAAGCACCCAGTCACTCATACACTCACTCAGACTCACTCACTCATACACCCAGTCACTCACTCACTCACTCAGAGACTCACTTACTCAGTCACTCAGACACTCAGTCACTCACTCACTCACTCATACACTCACTCACTCACTCAGACTCACTCACTCAGCCACTCAGACTCACTCACTCATACACTCACTCACTCAGACTCACTCGCTCAGAGACTCACTCAGAGACTCACTCACTCAGAGACTCACTCACTCAGAGACTCAGTCACTCACTCAGAGACTCACTCACTCACTAACTCACTCACTCATACACTCACTCACTCAGAGACTCACTCACTCAAGAGACTCACTCACTCAGGGACTCAATCACTCAATTCTAGACTGAAAGCTTTCGTGACTGCTAGGATCCATACTCTTTGGTTCTATTGGGTAAAGTCACGTTGGAAAGACGTTCTAAATCGAACTAAACATTAAACTAATTTCAATGGTACAGTATATTTTTTCAAGTAGTGGTACCCCAAACTTTCGCAGCTCTTATAAATATTCCCTTTTCACACCATCAATAGGTAAACTCCCCCTCCCCCCCGCGCCAAACGGCAAGTCCACCGGCACGTACACCACCTCTTTCCTAAAATCGGCCAATCAAATGCTAATTTTCACGCTAATTTCTATTGTCAGAACACCTTGTTTGCTCGCACACAGTTTAAAGGTCCGCTGTCTGAGAGCGTGGTTGTGTTTCGCTAAATTCGCCTGTTTGATGAGTACGAGGTGCCTCGGTGAATGTATATGCTCTGACTTTAACACGGCCATTTCTGTGACCAGTTACAAGCTAATCACTCAGCCATTTCAATGCTAAATTCTACGCTAATTCCTTTGTCAAGGGGTGCCTCTGCGGATGTGTATACTTTAACTTAGCTATTTCAATGAGAAATGTCAATGCTAAATTCTATGCTAATTCCTTTGTCAAGGGGTGCCTCTGCGGATGTGTATACTTTAACTTAGCTATTTCTGTGACCAGTTACAAGCTAATCACTCAGCCATTTCAATGCTAAATTCTATGCTAATTCCTTTGTCAAGGGGTGCCTCGGTGAATGTGTATGCTTTGACTTTAACATAGCCATTTCTGTGACCAGTTACAAGCTAATCACTCAGCCATTTCAATGCTAAATTCTATGCTAATTCCTTTGTCAAGGGGTGCCTCTGCGGATGTGTATACTTTAACTTAGCTATTTCAATGAGCCATTTCAATGCTAAATTATATGCTAATTCCTTTGTCAAGGCGCTTGGTGTTTTTCTTCTCACACAGCTTAAAGGTCGTGATCCAAGCGTGGCTTCTCCCACTCCAGCGCTGTCCTCCAGACAGTTTCGTCCCTTCACCTGATGAAGGCCGCTTGTGTTGTGGCCGAAACGTCGTGGGAATTTGTTATTTTATTCTTTAGACCTACGTGACTTTACCCAATAGAACCAAAGAGTACTCAATCACTCACTCAGAGACTCACTCACTCAGAGACTCACTCAGAGACTCACTCAGAGACTCACTCACTCAGAGACTCACTCAGAGATTCACTCACTCACTCAGAGACTCACTCACTCAGAAACTCACTCATTCAGAGACTCACTCAGAGACTCACTCACTCAGAGACTCACTCACTCAGAGACTCACTCAGAGACTCACTCAGAGACTCACTCAGACTCACTCACTCAGAGACTCACTCACTCAGAAACTCACTCATTCAGAGACACTCACTCAGAGACTCACTCACTCAGAGACTCACTCAGAGACTCACTCACTCAGAGACTCACTCAGAGACTCACTCACTCAGAGACTCACTCACTCAGAGACTCACTCAGAGACTCACTCAGAGACTCACTCAGAGACTCACTCACTCAGAAACTCACTCATTCAGAGACACTCACTCAGAGACTCACTCACTCAGAGACTCACTTAGAGACTCACTCAGACTCACTCACTCAGAGACTCACTCACTCAGAAACTCACTCATTCAGAGACACTCACTCAGAGACTCACTCACTCAGAGACACTCACTCAGAGACTCACTCACTCAGAGACTCACTCACTCAGAGACTCACTCACTCAGAGACTCACTCACTCAGAGACTCACTCAGAGACTCACTCAAACTCACTCACTCAGAGACTCACTCACTCAGAAACTCACTCATTCAGAGACTCACTCAGAGACTCACTCACTCAGAGACTCACTCAGAGACTCACTTAGAGACACTCACTCAGCGACTCACTCAGAGACTCACTCAGACTCACTCACTCAGAAACTCACTCATTCAGAGACACTCACTCAGAGACTCACTCAGACTCACTCACTCAGAGACTCACTCACTCAGAAACTCACTCACTCAGAGACTCACTCAGAGACTCACTCAGACTCACTCACTCAGAGACTCACTCAGAGACTCACTCAGAGACTCACTCAGAGACTCACTCAGAGACTCACTCAGAGACTCACTCAAACTCACTCACTCAGAGACTCACTCACTCACTCAGAGACTCACTCAGACTCACTCACTCAGAGACTCACTCACTCAGAAACTCACTCAGAGACTCACTCAGAGACTCACTCACTCAGAAACTCACTCACTCAGAGACTCACTCAGAGACTCACTCAGACTCACTCACTCAGAGACTCACTCACTCAAAAACTCACTCATTCAGAGACACTCACTCAGAGACTCACTCAGAGACTCACTCACTCAGAGACTCACTCACTCAGAGACACTCAGAGACTCACTCAGAGACTCACTCACTCAGAAACTCACTCATTCAGAGACACTCACTCAGAGACTCACTCAGAGACTCACTCACTCAGAGACTCACTCAGACTCACTCACTCAGAGTCTCACTCACTCAGAAACTCACTCATTCAGAGACACTCACTCAGAGACTCACTCACTCAGAGACTCACTCACTCAGAGACTCACTCAGAGACTCACTCACTCAGAGACTCACTCAGAGGCTCACTCAGAGACTCACTCACTCAGAGACTCACTCACTAAGAGACTCACTCAGACTCACTCACTCAGAGACTCACTCACTCTGAGACTCACCCAGAGACTCACTCAGAGACTCACTCACTCAGAGACTCACTCAGAGACTCACTCACTCAGAGACTCACTCACTGAGAGACCCACTCAGAGAGTCACTCACCCAGAGACTCACTCACTCAGAGACTCACTCAGACTCACTCACTCAGAGACTCACTCACTCAGAAACTCACTCATTCAGAGACACTCACTCAGAGACTAACTCACTCAAGAGACTCACTCAGAGACTCACTTACTCAGAGACTCACTCAGACTCACTCACTCAGAGACTCACTCACTCAGAAACTCACTCATTCAGAGACACTCACTCAGAGACTCACTCAGAAACTCACTCAGAGACTCACTCAGAGACTCACTCAGAGACTCACTCAGAGACTCACTCAGAGACTCACTCAGAGACTCACTCACTCACTCAGAGACTCACTCAGAGGCTCACTCAGAGACTCACTCACTCAGAGACTCACTCACTCAGAGACTCACCCAGAGACTCACTCAGAGACTCACTCACTCACTCAGAGACTCACTCACTCAGTGACTCACTCAGAAACTCACTCAGAGACTCACTCACTCAGAGACTCACTCACAGACTCACTCACTCAGAGACTCACTCACTCAGAGACTCACTCACTCAGAGACTCACTCACTCAGAGACTCATTCACTCAGAGACTCACTCAGAGACTAACTCACTCAGAGACTCACTCACTCAGAGACTCACTCACTCAGAGACTCACTCAGAGACTCACTCACTCAGAGACTCAGAGACTCACTCACCCAGAGACTCACTCAGAGACTCACTCACTCAGACACTCACTCAGAGACTCACTCAGAGACTCACTCAGAGACTCACTCACTCAGAGACTCACTTAGAGACTCACTCAGAGACTCACTCACTCAGAGACTCACTCACTCAGAGACTCACTCAGAGACTCACTCACCCAGACACTCACTCAGACTCACTCACTCAGAGACTCACTCACTCAGAGACTCACCCAGACACTCACTCAGAGACTCACTCAGAAGCGAGCGACTCTACGGACGGGCGGGCGGGCGAGCGAGCGAGCGGGATGGACGCTAGGATATGTTCAATGTTACGTCGCAGTTGTTCGTTGAGGCGAGCCTCCAGCTCCCCCAGCTCCACCTCGGTGCGCTTGGCGTCCTTCTGCAGCTCCAGGCGAGACTTGCGCGAATCGTAGTAACCTCCAGTCAGAGCTCCCCGATGGCTCACCTGGTCACCTGGGAGGCACAGCCACAGGTGACCAGGTGCAGGTGACTCGGAGCGGCCGTCAGTCAGGGCAATCCGTCTGTCCAGCCTGGTCACTCGTCTCCACCACCCGTGTGTGTCTCACCCCGTGTGTCTCTCTCACTCCCCCGTGTCTCTCTCTCACTCCCCGTGTCTCTCTCACTCCCCCGTGTCTCTCTCACTCCCCGTGTCTCTCTCTCCCCCGTGTCTCCCCCCCCGACCCCCCCCCCCCCCCCCCCCGTGTCTCACCCCCGTGTCTCACCCCCGTGTCTCTCTCCCCCTGTCTCCTTCACGTGTCTCTCTCCCGTGTCTCTCTCCCCCTCGTGTCTCTCTCCCCCCAGTGTCTCTCTCCCCGTGTCTCTCCCCCCCGTGTCTCTCTCCCCCGTGTCTCTCTCTCCCCGTCTCCCCCGTGTCTCCCCCCCCCCCCGTGTCTCTCCCCTGTGTCTCTCCCCCGTGTCTCTCTCCCCCGTCTCACCCCCCCGTGTCTCCCCCCCGTGTCTCTCCCCCGTGTCTCTGTCTCCCCCGTGTCTCCCCCCCCCCCGTGTCTCTCCCCCGTGTCTCCCCCCCGTGTCTCTCCCCCGTGTCTCTGTCTCCCCCGTGTCTCCCCCCCCCCCCCGTGTCTCTCCCCCGTGTCTCTCCCCCGTGTCTCTCCCCCATGTCTCCCCCCCTGTGTCTGTCTCTATATCTCCCCCGTGTCTCCCCCCCGTGTCTCTCCCCCGTGTCTCTCTCCCCGTGTCTCCTCTCTCCCCGTGTCTGTCTCTATATCTCCCCCGTGTCTCTCTCCCCGTGTCTCTCTCCCCGTGTCTGTCTCTATATCTCCCCCGTGTCTGTCTCTATATCTCCCCCGTGTCTCTCTCCCCGTGTCTGTCTCTATATCTCCCCCGTGTCTCCGCCCCGTGTCTCTCTCCCCGTGTCTCTCTCCCCGTGTCTCTCTCCCCGTGTCTGTCTCTATATCTCCCCCGTGTCTCCGCCCCGTGTCTGTCTCTATATCTCCCCCGTGTCTGTCTCTATATCT